TACGCCCACAAATTACAACATGTGGAAGCCAAGGATGGAAGATTTGCTTAATCTGAAAGATTTAGCAGAGCCTATAGAAAAGCAAGGCGTCAAACCCAACACGAAGACAGACGAAGTTTGGACGAGAATAAACAGGAAAACGGTGGCACAAATTCGACAGTGGATCGACCACAGTGTTTTTCATCATGTATCTCAAGAGACAGACGCGTACAAACTTTGGGAGAAGCTCGAGAATATGTATCAGGCAAAGACGGCACGCAACAAGACCTTGCTGATGAGGCGCCTTGTAAACCACAAGTTACGAAGTGGTACGTCCATAACCGAGCATACGAGTCAGTTCCAGGATCTCGTAAACCAGCTCGGTGCTGCTGATTGGGTTCTCAAAGACGAGGAACAAGCCATATTGCTCTTGAGTTCTCTACCAGATAATTGGGAGACGCTTGTTGTGACTCTCAGCAATTCTACCCCCGGTGGTAAAGTGACAATGGAGATGGTCACAGATGCCCTAATGAACGAGGAAGCCAGAAGGAAAGAAGCTGGTACAGACCAGTCTTTTGCCCTCGTGTCAGAAAACAAAGAAAGAGGCGGAGGCAGAACTGGAGGCCGAGGTCGAGGTAGAGGCAGAGGTAGACATGGTCAAAGTAGAGGAAGATCCCAAGATCGTGGGAAATCACGAGATCGAGGGAAATCGCGAGAGCGAGGTAAATCTTCAAATACATGGTTCGAAGGCTATTGCAATCATTGTAATTATTATGGCCACAAAAGGAGTGATTGCCGAAGGTTCTTACGAGAGCAGCCCGAGACAAGCCAGAATCCAAGCAGGGAGAATGGTGAAACCATGGTCACCATAACACAAGACGTTGCCCTTGTTACATACGAGGAGGAAGCATGCCTACATGTTGAAACTCATGATGATGAGTGGGTGATTGATAGCGCTGCATCATATCATTCGACTCCAAACCGGGATTTATTCAGTACTTATAAACCCGGAGACCATGGTACCGTGAAGATGGGAAACACCAGTTTCTCAAGCATTGCTGGTATTGGTGATGTGCATTTAAAGACCAATGTTGGATGTACATTGGTGTTGAAAGATGTTCGGCATGTCCCAGAGCTGAGAATGAATCTTATCTCAGTTGGAGCTCTTGACGTCCAAGGATATGATAATCAATTCAAAAATGGCACCTGGAAGTTGTTGAAAGGTGTTATGGTTGTTGCAAGGGGAAAACTTGATGGTACTCTTTATAAAAGTCATGCAAAGTTGCTTCAACCAAGTCTCAATGTTGTTAAAGAAGAGACATCACCAAACTTGTGGCATAGAAGACTAGGCCACATGAGCGAGAAGGGATTGACGACTCTTGCAAAGAAGGAGTCCATTTCAATGGCAAAAGATGTTGCCTTGGATCCTTGTAAATACTGCCTATTCGGGAAACAACACAGAGTTTCCTTTAGCTCCACAAGAAAGAACCGCTCTGAGTTGCTGAGCCTTGTCCACTCCGATATATGTGGACCCATTGAAGTAGAATCTCTTGGTGGAAGCCGGTATTTTGTGACATTCATTGACGATGCGTCACGAAAGGTATGGGCATACTGTTTGAGAACGAAGGACCAAGTATTGGACCGCTTCAAAGCTTTTCATGCAATGGTGGAAAGACAAACAGGCAAGAAGCTAAAATGTCTCCGATCAGATAATGGAGGCGAATACTATTCCCGTGAGTTCTCTAAATACTGCACGGAACATGGTATCAGACATGAAAAGACTGTCCCACGAACCCCACAACACAATGGTGTAGCAGAACGGATGAATCGCACCATTGTTGAGAAAGTTCGATGCATGCTCAGCATGACTAAACTCCCAAAGCCATTCTGGGGTGAAGCTTGCTATCTAATAAATAGGTCACCTTTCGCTCCATTGAATTTTGAAGTTCCGGAGAAGATATGGACGGGTAAAGACATATCATATTCTCACTTGAGAGTATTTGGGTGCAAAGCGTTTGCACATGTATCAAGTGAATTGCGGAAGAAATTGGACCTCAAATCCACTCCATGCATCTTATTGGATATGGAGATGAAGAGTTCGGGTACAGGCTATGGGACCCAGAACTAAATAAGGTTATTCGAAGCAGAGATGTGGTTTTTTATGAAAACCAGTATTATGATTTCAAGGCACCGGTTAACAAGCAACAAAGCTCCAAAGTTTCAGATATAATATCTAAAAATAAAGATGATGTTTCCACTGAAGAAGTGGATGAAGAAGTCGATGATGCAGATCAAGAAGGTGTTGAGCAGGGGGGAGCTTCCACCCCTGGATAATTCAGATCCACTGCCAGAAGTTGCAAACGAAGGAACTCAAGTTAGACGATCCGAACGAGTACGTGCTCCATCAACAAGATATCCGACTTCAAACTACATCCTTCTTACTAGTGAGGGGGAGCCAGAGAGTTTTCAAGAAGCTCAATCTCATATTGACAAAGCAAATTGGCAGAAGGCCATGGAAGAAGAAATGAATTCTTTGCAGAAGAATCAAACATATGAGTTGGTAAACCTCCCCAAAGGAAAGAAAGCCTTGAAAAACAAGTGGGTTTTCAAGTTGAAGAAAGACGGCAAGGGAAATACTATGAAGTATAAGGCGAGACTCGTTGTCAAAGGTTTCCAACAAAAAGAAGGAATCAACTTTGATGAAATTTTTTCGCCAGTTGTGAAGATGATGTCTATCCGAGTTGTACTCGGATTAGTTGCCAGTCTAGATCTTGAACTTGAGCAGATGGATGTGAAAACAGCCTTTCTCCATGGTGATTTGGATGAAGAAATATACATGGAGCAACCTGATGGCTTTAAAGTCCCAAAGAAAGAGCATATCGTCTGTAAATTAAAGAAGAGCCTTTATGGTCTTAAGCAAGCCCCAAGGCAGTGGTACAAGAAGTTTGATTCATTTATGATGAATCATGAGTACAAGAGAACTATTGCAGACTATTGTGTCTATCTGAAGAAGTTTCCAGATGGGAAATTTGTCATCCTTTTGCTCTACGTGGATGATATGTTGATAGTGGGCCAAGATGCAATGATGATCAACAACTTGAAGAATGATTTGTCTAAGTTCTTTGATATGAAAGACTTAGGCCAAGCACAACAGATATTGGGCATGAAAATTATCCGTGATAGAAAATCAAGAAAATTGTTCTTATCACAGGAAGAGTATGTTGAACGTGTGATTAAAAGGTTCAACATGGAAAATGCCAAGCCCGTTGGTACGCCCTTGGCTAACCACTTCAAGTTGAGTAAGAAAAATTGTCCATCTTCTGAGAAAGAAAAAGAAGAGATGAAGGCAGTCCCCTATTCCTCAGCCGTAGGAAGTCTTATGTATGCAATGGTGTGTACAAGACCAGATATTGCTCATGCTGTCGGTGTTGTGAGTAGATATCTAGCTAATCCGGGAAAACAACATTGGGAAGCAGTCAAATGGATACTTCGATACCTGAAGGGTAGTTCGAAACTATGTTTATGCTACGGGGGAGCAAAGCCAATCGTGGAAGGTTATACAGATGCCGATATGGCAGGAGATCTTGATAGTAGGAAATCTACATCAAGTTACATTTTTACTTTGGCAGGGGGAGCTATCTCGTGGCAATCCAAATTACAGAAGTGTGTCGCACTGTCAACAACAGAAGCCGAGTATATTGCTGCCGTTGAAGTTGGGAAGGAGCTTATATGGATTAAACGGTTTCTTCAAGAATTAGGCTTTCCACAAGAAGAGTACATCATTCATTGCGATAGTCAGAGTGCTATGGACCTGAGTAAGAACTCGATGTACCATTCCCGTACAAAACATATTGATATACGTTATCACCGGCTTAGAGAAGCAATTGAGGGACGAGAATTGAAGTTGTTAAAGATCAACACCAATAACAATCCTGCAGACATGTTGACAAAGGTGGTGACACAAGAGAAACACAGACTATGTGCTGACATAGTTGGGATGAGGATTGTTGGACGGAGACTGGAGGGGGAGATTTGTTGTGTTCCAGCCTCCAAAGCCTCCAAAGCTACAGTAGCCATCATTGTTGACAAAATGAAACCTACGGGACAAGTTTTTCTTCCCACCCTATGATGAACATGATGAACACAATTAATAGACGCAACTACAATGGTGGCTGCCAAGACTATAAATAGAGACTTCATTCTTCAGTTGTATGCATCCCAAATACAGAGACACAAATGGTATAAAACTTAGAGTGAGAGTGTTAGTGAGAGGGTTGGTCTTTTGTAATAGTTGAGTGTGAGAGTTGCTCCTCCTATTGTAATTCTATTTTAGTGTTTAATAGAAGAGTTTTCCAACCCCAACAAATTTCAGATGTCGGGGGATCGACAGAACCATCAATGTGAGGCATTAGGTTTTGATAAGAAAAGAGAGGGAGCATCTGATTCTTCTATACAAGGTAATTGGAAGAGGAGAGTTTGATTGTTATCATGTGCAGGAGAGTAGACATCGGCAAAGAGTTATCAGAGGAAGATGAGGAAGACATGGAGAAAAGGAAGAAGAAAACGAGACAGAAGGGGAAAAGAATGGTCTCAGGAAAAGAACGAAGTGACTGATACCATGAATTGATTTAACTTTTTCTATCCCACACGAACGGATGGGCATGCCTTTAATAAATAATAAAAGTTACACAATACATACACCAAGAATAGGAGAAATACACAAAAGGCACAACAAATAAATGACAACAAAAAGTTACAGAGACCTATTAACAATATCGTACTGCAATTCTTTGGTGCACTTTTTGCATAGACCATGGGACTGAATCCCTTGAAGAAAGGATAGCCGATGTTCGTGAAGTCTTTGGATCTCAACCGTCCCTCCAAACTTGACATTCATATAACAAAAGACACCTCTTTTAAACATGACATATACATGTTTCTCACACTCAAGGATTAAGGGAGCACAAGCAGGATGCATAGACTGGGCACAACAACTACAATGATAGAACCACTTTTTAGGGTCAAATTTTGTCTTCACAAATTTCACAGAAGTAGTTGCCAGGGTGGTTCTCAACTGGATTGTATCTTAGGCTCAATGGATGCTTATCGAACTTGTGCCTCATCATTCCAGGCAACAAGAAAGCACACTCCGTATCCAAGTAGAAATCACAGGAGGGGCAATGGAAAGCGATGTTGCCATCTTCCAGGAAACAATTACATGGATTGCATATTTTTTCTGATACATCAGCTGAAGAAGCATTGATTCTTGAGAGGAGATGGCCTGGGTGAGCTTCATGTGTGATTTCTTTAGGTAGGAATGCACAATTGATATCCATATAATAGCCACATGCAACACATCCATATGCGAAACCATTACAATATAACCTACAAATAGAACAAGAAAATAAACCCATGAACATACGAGGGTTGTTTGAGATGAGAACAAGTGCATGATCTGGATGGCCCGGGTGGTCATGTATCTTGGAAGGTAGCCTGGCACAACACTCATGAAGAAAAAAACCACAACTTATTTGAGAACACTTATAAAATGGCATTTCCATAATTGGTTTCAAACATCCATCACATAATACTTGAATTTTCTTCATGGGGTTGTGAAGAACAATTGATTTGTTACCGAGTGATGCTTGTTGTGTGTCTAAAAGAATGAGTGGGTGTTGATGTCTAAAATGGTTGAGCATTTCGCCGCCATGCTTTTCTTTAATCATAATAAACTCTTTCTTATTTTTTATAAAATAGTGTCTGAGAAGGTTGTAACTTTCATCCGGAAATGGACAGTGGAGAAGATTAGGATAATCATTGTCTTTGAAATTTTTATAAGTCTTGCCACTACCTGATAAATGACAACAAACATTAAAAAGTAATAAACCATGCAACATTGAGAAATCTTTAAGTGGTAAAACAAATTAAAGAGAAGAATAAATAAACAACCTGGATGTAAGAAGATTGACATAAATGGCTCTCTCTTTGAAGTCGCACAATTAATATGGGCATAGTATTGACATTTATCGCATTTGTAAAGCCATAAGTAACTATCGAAGTGCTTCTTACAAACTCTGCATTTAGGATAGTACTTAGATGCATAATCAACTTGAGGAAAGGAATAGGCAAGGGTAAGTGGATGAGAATGAGTGAAAGTGGCATCAGTATGTTGTTGGATAAGTAACTTAATTTGCGGGCAACAAAGCACAATCTAAGTGGATTGAGTACCAAGAACAAGTGGTGCACTGGTAGAAGGTCCCTTTATGTTTTTCGCCACAAGCACTGCAACGTGATACCAACTCCTTGGCCATACGTTGCAGTTGGTGAGGGTGGCTTGGGTGGTCCATCTTTTGTTGAGACATAGTAGCACATATAATGTCCATATCGAGTCTGCAAATGGGACATATGTAATTGAATAATTTCTTTCGCATAATTACATTGCAGACACTACATGTCCATTCATTTGATTTTGGATAATATATCCAACAGAATTCCTCGGACAATGTAAGATTATGGTCGAGATGGGGATGTGATGGGTGGTTTCGTAGGGTTTTTGGCATTTCTGCACAAAATTTGTGCAACGAGTAGTCATCACAATCCTTACACTTGCAGTAACTCATATGAAATGAGTAGATATGTTCCTCACACATTTTGCATTGTCCAACATGCTTATCTTCAGCCACAAAATCATTCTCCTCACCTTCTTCTTTCTCTTCATCATCATCATCATCATCAGAGTTTTCATTATCGTGGCTAGCTGGTTGCAGATGGACAAGGCTGCGCATATGATCATGAGTGAAGTGCAGAAGCTGCTCCATTGCAGCTACAACAAATAAATACAACTAGAAACCTAAATTGTTAGGTCGTCATAACAAACAATAAAAAGAATAATTGATCCAGTGTTTAAAGATTTAGTTTTGCTTTAAATTCAACTTAGCTTTGTAATCTTTCTTTAATTCCATAATTAAATATTAGAGTATGCTATTCTTAAGCAAATGATGTTAGCTTCAGAATATATGCATGTAGAAACCCATATAGTAATATCGTATTAATGATATGATGTCATGAAAGACCATATATTTTGAGTGTTTTCTGGATTAAACCTCAAATTAATTTTTTTTCTTGATAAAGACCTTACATTTTTCCGTTTATTCTGATTTGCCAGGTTTACCAGTAATATTCCGGTTTTAGACAAATTTTCCGGAAAACCCTAAGTTTTTTTTCTGAAAAAAATTGTAAAATGTGAAGGTTTTTTTGAGAAAAATAAAATAAAAATCTGAGGTTTTTTCGGAAAAAAAAAGTTGAGATTGTTTCCAGAGAAATTTGTCTAAAACTGGAAAGTTATCAATAAACCTGCTAAAATGGCCAAATTGAAAAAAATAGAAAAATGCAAGGTACTTTTAGGAAAAAAAATAAAGTCGTGGCTTAATCTGGAATAAAACCCAAAATACAGGGTCTTTTATGATATCAAAACTCTTTTCTTCTAAGTTTTTAATCAAACACTTGGCTGACATGTGGCTATAATATACAAAGTATGTGTTATACATATCTTGGTATATTATCCACACAAAACATTTACAGATATACAATGACCTCAAAATGAAAGAAAACGAGACATACATATACATACATGTTATATGAGTAAGAGGAATTGGATATCAACGTTGCAAAGGTAGAAGTTTTGCTGGTGAAGATGAGACCGTAAATTGAGCGCATTAAAAAGGAATGAATGGGAATATATTTGGTTGCAAATGTCAAGCAATCTCTACTTAATTGGCTTTTGCAATAGAAAGTTATGTTTATGACTTTATTCCCATTCCTAGGTTGATTTGGAAGCAAATTAAATTCGTTATAAATATTCCGTCATTTTTATTTGTGAATATTGTTAAAAACATTCTCTAAGAAGATAGTGCGTACATTGCTCCCTTAATGGAATTGAATAGTGCGTACATTGCTCCCTTAATGGAATTGAAGAAACAATTCATCGCATTAGCGAAGGCCATATTGAATTTGGGGGTTTTACATGCTGTCATTTTAGAAATTTAGAATTTTGACCCAGGTTTTAAATTTTATTACATTTGGACCAAAATTTTATTTTTTTTACAAATTCGTTTCAAAATTAATGTTCTCTTTTCTTACAAGTTGACTTTTTTGCAATCTTTTTACAACTAAGTGAATAATTACAAGATAACTTACCAAACACTTGCATCTTAAACTTAGCATCATCAAGTAATATCATATACATGTCCCAATAGCAAACTTTAACTAGCTTCCTAATCATAGACTTGAAATTCCCATTCTTGTGTAGAGTATGACTTTACCAAAAGTCAACGTTGTCCACTTTTACTAAATTACTTTTACCAAACTCGAGAGTTCAAATTGCTTGGTTCTTTGATGTTTATAACTCATTACCAAAGGTATTTCTTAAGTCCAAACTCAATTTCAACATATTTTGAATGTACGCCAAGTAATCACACTTTTATTCTTCATGTTTGACTCCTCTAAAAAGTCAAAGCTGTCAAATTGCATTTCAATTGATCATTTAAGGACCAGTGTGACTTTTTTTTACCCTCCTAGACTTTATATATATATGTTATCTATATAAAGTGTTGTGTTTTTTTACTTATTATCTGGATTTGTTTTATAGTTTATCTGTAAGATAAATTATACTTTTGTTTATGTGAAATTTTTGCAGGTTTGACCATGATGTATCATTGGAACTCACAAATGTTCATCCCAAATTGCGGATTATACGTAGGGAGGTTGCAGTTATTTTTGGTCAATGGGTTTCTCAGGTAATGTTATTGGGTTTTTGATTTTTTTTAATTAATACAATTCCCATTTTGTTGATTTGGCCATCTTTTCTGGTGCAATTTGAGTCTGTGGCCATTCCTGTGCTGCTTAAGCAGCTATAGATATATTTGACATATAAGATGCCAGCTTTGTTCATGTTACCAATGTTTTTAAAAAAACGTTATATACCTTCTGTCCCAATTTAAATTATTCCTTACACAAAACGTAAAACTAAGGAAAGCTTATATATCCTTTTTGCATACAAATGACTACATTTATATAGACATAACTAAGTACAAACTTGCTTTAGTAATATGAGTATTCCTATAATCATATGCATCATTACTAGAATCACTTTATATTTTTTCATTTTTTACAAGAAATACTAAGTTCTGTTTTGTTTGGTAGTTCTTTGTCACATTATTTATTTTATTATTGTCTTCTATATAATTTGATGTTTTTACAGATTCAAGATTACACCAAACAACCAGTCTATTGTGCTCTCATCAGGTTGTTGCGGACAGAGACGTGTGTCATGGTATAAATTATAATGCAGTCTATAAAGTCCATTGCTATTTTTTTTATCATAAAAAGATTCCATTTTTGTTTTTTTATATAGATAGATTAATATTTAATAGTAGTCTTAATGGTAAATATTTGAAGCAGGTTAATTGGTGTTGTAAATCCCAGACCTGGCATTTTATTCTATTTGATGTTTTGAAAAAAATCTGACATTTTTGTTTTCTTTTTTTCATTAATTTCAGGAAAATACATAGAAGATGATTCCTTACCATATTGTCGGACTGTAAGTTTTATGTATTGCAACGTTTCATATCTTTTGTTGCAAGATAAATACCAAAATTTCCAAGTTCATCCCATAATACTATTAGACAATGAGAAACCATGACACCATAAGGAAAACAACACCTTTAAAGCACTTATGTACATGACAAGATTCTAATATTTTTTTGGCATATGAAGGATCTGTATTTTATTAAATAATTGAACCTTCAAATGAAATTAAGGATTTTTACAAGAGAATATAAACTTGTTCACAAAGCAAATGATTGACCCCAACTCATAAAATTAAAGACATAAATGAAAAGTAATTAAATAAATGATTTAAAGATACAAATAACAAATGTACAAGTGTTTAGTTACGCCAAGAATCAATTAAGCACATAACTTGATCAATTGCCAAATAAATCAGCACAAAGATAATGAAGTGCATACTCATCGCACTCCAAGCACTTAAAGATCATATCGTACTGCAATTCTTGGTGGCACAAATTGCACAGACCATGGGACTGAATCCCTTGAAGAAAGGATAGCCGATGTGGGTGAAGTCCTTGGATCTCAACCGTCCCTCCAAACTTGACATTCACAAACTCAAAGACACCTCTATGATACTTGGCATATACATGTTGCTCACACTCAAGGATTAAGGGCGCACAAGCAAGATGCATAGACTGGGCACAACAACCACAATGATAGAACCACTTTTCAGGGTCAAATTTTTCCTCACAAATTTCACAGAAGTAGTCGCTTGGGTGGTTCTCAACTGGATTATATCTCAGGCTCAATGGATGCTTATCGAACTTGTGCCTCATCATTCCAGGCAACAACAAAGCACACTCCGTATCCAAGTAGAAATCACAGGAGGGGCAATGGAAAGCGACATTGCAATCTTCCAGGTAACAATTACATGAATTGCATGATTTTTTTGATACATCAGCTGGAGAAGCATTGATTCTTGAGAGGAGATGGCCTGGGTGAGCTTCATGTGTGATTTCTTTAGGTAGGAATGCACAATTGATATCCACATAATAGCCACATGCTACACATCCATATGCGAAACTATTGCCATATAAACGACAATTGTAACAGATATATAAACCCATTAACCAATTAGGGTTGTTTGACATGAGAACAAGTGCATGCTCTGGATGGCCAGGGTGGTCTTGTATTTTGGAAGGTAGCCTGGCACACCACTCATGAAGAAAAAAACCACAACTTATTTGAGAACACTTATAAAATGGCATTTCCATTATTGGTTTCAAACATCCGTCACATAATACTTGAATTTTCTTCATGGGGTTGTGAAGAACAATGAGTGATGTTTGTTGCGTGTGTGAGTCTAAAAGAATCAGTGGGTGTTGATGACTAAAATGGTTGAGCATTTCACCGCCATGCTCTTCTTCTTTAATCATAGTAATAAACTCTTTCTTATTTGTTATAAAATAGTGTCTGAGAAGGTTGTAACTTTCATCCGGAAACGGACAGTGGAGAAGATTAGGATAATCATCGTCTTTGAAATTTTTATAAGTCTTGCCACCACCTGGTCATAAATGATAGACATTGAAAAGTAAACTAAGATTGAGAAATCTTTAAGTGGTAAAACAAAATAAAGAGAAGAATAAACAAGTTATATATAGATTACCTGGATGTAAGAAGATTGACATAAATGGCTCTGTCTTTGAAGTTGCACAATTAATATGGGCATAGTACTGACATTTATCGCATTTGTAAAGCCATAAGTAACTATTGAAGCGCTCATTACAAACTCTACATCCAGGATTGTACTTAGATGCATAATCAACTTGAGGAAAGGAATAGGCAAGGGTAAGTGGATGAGAATGAGTGAAAGTGGCATCAGTAGGTTGTTGGATAAGTAACTTTGCTGGCAACAAAGCACAATCTAAGTGGATGGAGTACCAAGAACAAGTTGTGCAGTGGTAGAAGGTCCCTTGATGTTTTTCGCCACAAGCACTGCAACGTGACACCGACTCCTTGGCCATACGTTGCAGTTGGTGAGGGTGGCTTGGGTGGTCCATCTTTTGTTGAGACATAGTAGCACATATTATGTCCATGTTGATTTCGCAAATGTCACATATGTAATTGAATAACTTTGTTCGCATAAGATTACACACACTGCATGTCCATTCTATTAATTTTGGATCATATGTCCAACATAATTCCTCAGACAAGATAAGATTATGGTCGGGATGGGGATGTGATGGGTGGTTTTGTAGGGTTTTTGGCATTTCTGCACAAAATTTGTGCAACGAGTAGTCATCACAATCCTTACACTCGTAGTAACTTATATGAAATGAGTAAATCCCTTCCTTACACATTTTGCATTCTCCAACATGCTTATCTTCAGCCACAAAATCATCCTTATCCTCATCATCTTCATATTCATCTTTCTCTTCTTCTTCTTCTTCTTCTTCTTCTTCTTCTTCTTCTTCTTCTTCTTCTTCTTCTTCATCAAAGTTTTTATTATCTTGGTTAGGTTGCAGATGGACAAGGCTGAGCATATGGCTGTGACTAAAGTGAAAAAGTTGCTCCATTGCAGCTATGTCGAAGAAATGTCTAGCTGTAGTGTACAACAAATATATACAACTAGAAACCTGAATCTTTACATCATCATAACAAACATGAAAAAAAAATTATTGATCCAACGTTTACAGATTAAATTTATCAAGTAAAAATCATACTATTAGCTAGTGCTTTCAACTTGCACTTTTTAGTCAAGGACATGATTTCAACATCCAAATCTTTGAACCCCGTTAAGAAATAGATGGAAAGTAAAGATAAAATTTAAGATAATAACACAAACATGCCCGAGTCAAGTCATTCACAATCACAACTAATAAATAGAACAATCTATCTTCCAAAGTTTGAATGATAGAAGGCCACCTGATGATCAACTCCTCCTTGCTTATCATGGAAAATATTCTACTTTCACAATCAAAAGAGATTTACTTTCGCTTTAAATTCAACTTAGCTTTGTGAACTTTCTTTAATTTCATAATAAAATATTAGGGTATGCTATTCTTAAACAAATGATGTTAGCTTCAAAATATATGCACGTAAAAACCTATATTGTAATATCGTATTAATGATACGCTCATGATGATGTCATGAAAGACCATATATTTTGGGTGTTTTCTTTCTCGATTAATCCTCAAATTATTTTTTTTTCTTGATAAAGATCTTACATTTTTCCATTTATTCCGATTTGGCCCTTGCAGTTTACCAGTAATATTCCGGTTTTACATGATTTTTCCTAAAACCCTAAGTTTTTTTTTCCAAAAAGAATTGTAAAATGTGAACGTTTTTTGAGAAAAAAAAAATCCTGAGGTTTTGTTCGGAAAGAAGGTTGAGTTTTTCTGCAAAAAAATTGTCTAAAACCGGAAGATTATCGGTAAACCTGTTAAAATGGCCAAATTGAAAAAAAAAATGCAAGGTATTTTTAGGAAAATAAAACAAAACTAAGGTTTAATCTGGATAAAACATATAAACTATAGGGTCTGATATCAAAACTCTTTTCTTCTAAGTTTTTAATCAAACACTTGGTTGGCATGTGGCTATATAAAGTATGTGTTATTCGGTTTCCAACTAAGAACGTATCTTGGTATAGTATCCACACAAAACGTATACAAATATACAATAACCTCAAAAGGAAAGAAAAAGAGACATACATATACGTACATGTAATATAAGTGGGAGGAATTGGATATCCACGTTGCAAAGGTAGAAGTTTTGCTGGTGAAGATGGGAACGTAAATTGAGCACATTAAAAAGGAATGAATGAATGGGAATATATTTGGTTGCAAATGTCAAGCAATCTCTACTTTGCTTCTGCAATAGAAAGTTATGTTTATGACTTTATTCCCATTCCTGTGTTGATTTGGAAGCAAATTAAATTCGTTATAAATATTCCGTCATTTTTATTCGAGAAATATTGTTAAAAACATTCTCTAAGAAGATAGTACGTACGCTGGTCCCTTAATGGAATTGAAGAAACAATTATTCGCATTAGCGAAGGCCATATTGACAAGGGTTAACATACTAACAATAGTTTACATAAAATGGAACAAACTTATGTTTTTTGTTTTTTTTACATGCTATGTCATTTTAGAATTTTAGAACTTTGACTCAAGTTTTAAATTTTATTACATTTGGACCAGATTTTCATTTTTTTTACAGATTCGTCTTGAAATTAGTGTTTTCTTTTCTTACAAATTGACTTTTTAAGACTTTTTTTACAATCTTTTTACAACTAAGTGATTCATTACAAGATAACTTACCAAACACTTACATCTTAAACTTAGCATCATCAAGTAATATCATATACACGTCCCAATAGCAAACTTTACCTAGCTTCCTAATCATAGACTTGAAATTCCCATTCTTGTGTAGAGTATGACTTTACCAAAAGTCAATGTTGTCCACTGTTACTAAATTATTTTTACCAAACTCGAGAGTTCAAATTGCTTTGTTCTTTGATGTTTCTAACTCATTACCAAAGGTATTTCTTGAGTCCGAAATCAATTTCAACATATTTTGAATGTACGCCAAGTAATCCCACTTTTATACTTGATATTTGACTCCTCTAAAAAGTCAAAGCTGCCAAATTGAACTAACTTGGCATTTCAATTGATTGTTTATAGGTTATAAGCTTTCTAAACATTTTCCAAGTATTCTTTATCTTTCATAAATGTAGCAAATTTCATTGCTTTCTTCCATATTTGTATAAACTTATTTCCAGTAGTAATTATACATCATCTTTTTAACCATCTACACAATAGCTCTATCTTATGACAAACTTGACTAAACATAATGTTAACCAAGTGAATGCCTACTCGTAACCACATTGGCTTGCTTCTTTTATGTTCTTAAGGGAATTACACAATAGGCTTCAAGACACAAAAATCTAATTTTTGATATGCATTTGAAAGCCGAGTCCTTGGGGTCCAAGTAACACCAACGGATAGTCAAAGGTTGGAGCTAAATTCGGGGACGGATGGACTGAATCCAGAGCACTCTCTTCTCCATTTGTTATGCATGCATTAGAAGTAGGCCACGTTTCCCTTAATTGTTGCAGTAAATAAAATGCATGATAGGAACATTAGTTGCAATTGTTTGGTATGAAGGTTTGGTAATACCTTTTGTTGAGAAGGTTTTTGATTCCCAACAGCAATTTACATTCAATTAATGTACAGAGAATATTGCCCCAAGTCTTCTTTTCCTTCCTCATTGTCTTCTGGAGATTGACCATCTCAAACTAGGTCTATCAGTCGCCTCCGTGGATCACCACTGCCGCCAACAGTGGCGGAGCTGCCATGGCTGCTGTACTCCTTCCGCATTCTTTCTCTCAACCCCAGCCCTCATCGACCTTTCTCTTTTTCTTTCTCCCTCTGATTCTGTCTCTTGTCTCTGATTGAATCGCACAAGCACCCACAATTTCACGTACACAAGAATTGATTTCTTTCTCCTTTCCAGGTCCCATATAAACATTCAGATTATTCCCATCTAGTTTGACGAGTTTTTTTTTGTTCTGTCAGCTGCTTCGTTCCAGGCCCAGGGGGCAGGAAGAAGCTAAAACGTGTTTTTTTTTTTTTTTTTTTTTTTCTAAATAATAATATTAGTTTTAAATTAGAGTGATATTTTTTTTTCTAAATAATAATATTAGTTTTTAAATTAGAGTAATACTAATAAGGTAATTAGTTTTGAATGTATATTAGAATAAGAAATAGTTAACAATACCAACTTTCAACTTTTATATATGCCCCTCAACTTTTATTTATTTTCCATTTGAGTATTTTTGGATCAAATCGTCCTTTTGGGCTAAATGTTTTGTGGGCTAAACATTTTTAGAATCAAATTTCATTTCTTTATTATGTGACCCTTTTTAATTAAACCCACTATTTATTTTTTTGATTATGATCTTTTGAGATATAATAAAATCTCATAATTTTTTTTATTCATTTACTTACAAAATAAATCAAGACCCTTATATTTATTGTGATTATATAATAATTGCTCGAACCATCCTTCATCCTTCGATATAATTTGTTATAAAAATTCGGAAAGTTACAGTCCTCTGGAATCATCAATTCTGGTTCCAGTTCCAAACTAATTTTGGCCGGTTCGAGCCGATTCAATCCGTTTTCTCACCCCTAAAAAATGTAATGCAATGTTTTCTGATCTTCTCCTAGTTTGTTGGAAACTACCTTTTAAATTGATTGAGGATGTTAGGAGTTTGAAAAATAGTAGAGAAGAATTTTGTAATTGAAAAATAGTCGGTACAGGTTAGAGAACATTTTTTATTTAGGAATCTTGGAACAAATAAGTGTTTGTAGTGGAATGTTGTATAAAAGAAGTGTTTATAAACTTATGATAATGACTATGTTTTTGTTATTATCCACATTATCTTAATTTGTTAACCGTGTAGTACATGAGTTTTAACCTAGTAAAAATATAAAAAAGTATCGATACGAAAGGTAAGGGTTTTAATCTTCCATCTTCCAAAAATAACCATTTTTTTCAATTACTTTATTGTATGCAGTGCATTGTTTTTACATGTGATTGTATTTGACAACATTGCTAGTTTTACATGTGATTGTATTTGACCAACATTGCTAGTTTGTTGATACATATAATAGATGGAATCAGATAACTAGTTTTGACAAATTTTCTAACATGTAGGCCAAGTATGGGAAGTTTAACAACGTCACTCACTCTTGTAAGTAATTGACTGGATATTAATTGTTAAATAGAAAAATGCAAAAGTTAAAACATTAGTTGATACCGATAATCCATACCTGTAATTATCTTTTATGACAAGATGGGGTCCAACCAACCACTAAAGCCCACCTATTAATAATTAAATAAAAGAGGGACAATATAGTCTTTTTATATTATATTTAACAGAAAATTAATGGTGTTAGTCATAAGGACCGATGGTGTGCAAGGTTTGCTACGTAAGGACCATTATAAGGAAAATGTTTCATAAAGACTATTTTAAGGACAAAATGAAAAGCATAAGGATCATTTGTGAAATTTTATCTAAAAAAATAATCAAATAGACGATAATACCCTTAATACCCTTATGATGCAACATCGGCTCCGACCACCTGCTCTGAGAGAGTGCTTCTACGCCGGAGACGAATCTGCGAGGTCACAAAAGACAAGACCGTTAGAGCCGCCCCAGGGACTGTGCCCCGGGAGCGGACTCCGACAATCAAGTTAGATCATCTAGTAGATCTGAGATGGTCCTCCATAGCAGGAGGGAACCATCTTGGTGCTGGTGGTGGTGTATGGTGGCTGACGGCGGCGGGTGGCGGCTGAGCCACCCGGTCGAAGTATAATGTGGAGGTTGAGTCATGGGGGAAGTCTAGTGACGGCTGAGCCACTTGGGAAAGAGTCCAAGGGAAAGGTCCCCCTTCATGGAGGAGGCACTATTCTATTTATAGTGGAGAATTAGGTCAAGGGGAATTAGGTCAGGCCTTGGGCCAGCCCAATTCAGGCCCAACTAGCAAGGAGTTGGGCAAGGCCGCCCGGAGGTGCCAGGTGGGGCTGGCGGGCGCGCCCCAGGCAATGCTGGTGGGCGCGCAACGGGAAAGGCTGGCAGGAAAGCGCCAGGCAAGGGAGCGCCGGGCCGGGCCGGCAGGAGAGTCCCCAGCACGGCTGGCAAGGGAGCGTCAGGCAAGGCTGGCAAGGGAATGCCAGGCAGGGCTGGCAGGAGCACGCCAGGCCAGGCTAATGGACCATATATCATCAAGTCCCCCCCCCCCCCAGTCTGATGTTATTGGTACACGACCAATGACATCGGACTGGACTTAGTCATATAAAATGTGCGCCGTCAAGTCCCCCTAGTCTGATGCGATTGGGTTGCTGACAATCGGATCGGACTAGATAAAGCACCAATGCATTAAATAATAGAGAGAATGACCGAACCTCGCCCACGAGGGCCGTGGGGTTGTGCGATGAGCCAAACATTATTTATGCAGCTTGAGCTGACTTGATACTCCTTCACTGAAAGGAGTGCAAGCCGATCGGTGCGATGCAACGTAACTATTGTTGCGATAATGCAGACCGAGGCTGCTAAAGAGTGTTACGTGACACTGATGTCGATAAAATGTCGGGCCGGGGTAGCTAAGAAGCGTAACCTCGCCATACAGTCACTAAGACCGTTGTCGAGTTCCGAAGTCTGTAAATAGATACAACGTGCTTGGTCCATGATTCTCGCGTTCCAGTCACAGCTGAAAGTTGTTAATAGAAATAGACGCTCTGAGCGTCGCGCGCGCACCCCGGGGAGGGGGACGAGACCCGCAGCCAACACTGGGTGGGGAGTTATATTTCTATGCCCGCTGAATGGGAACTTTGAGTGACTGGTCAGCGGTGCACATTTCGCAAGTCCCCTATAAATGCTTTACAGACCGAGCTTTTCTCCGCGAGTTTGTTATTGGCGCACTCTGCGTGTTGCAATCTTTAAGCGGCTGTCTGAAAAGGCAACTCGATCAAATAGTTAGTATTTTTTCTTGAAATCGATTCAAATTGTTCGCCATGATTGTTTCTAAACACTTCATGAATAGCAGTAGTACACTACTCTTCTCCCTCCCCCCTTTTTTTTTGAAAACATTGAGATGGTCGGACCACATCTTATAGAATCGGATTTAGCTTGACTGGATTGGAGCGCACGAGCTTTGATTTTTTTTTGAACGTCGGGTGATTTGGGATGCAATGTGTATTTGTAACATCCAAAATTTTAAGCCAAATTTAAAAATTTTCAACATAAAAACCAAATATTGTTTTTTACAAAATGTTTTCAAAATATTATTCATCAGAGTGTCCCAGTAACAAAATCATAAGGATGAGGAGCGATACGGTCACGCCTTTGCCTTGCCACGATCTCCTGATGTACCTGAAACAATAAATTGAAACTGTAAGCCCGAGGGCTTAGTGAGCTACCCCCAAAATACCAATACCACACCGATCATATCAATAACAGATAACAACAATATGCTTACTAGGCCTTCAGCCTGACTGGACCGGTTTGCAAGGCCTACGGTCTGTCTGAATCTAATCCGAGCCTACGGTATGACTGGTCCGCCATGCGGGGACCACGGTCTATCCGGACCGCTCGCTGGGTATGTTGGCCTTCAGTACAAAGCAGGACTGCCTCAACCCATCCATCAACAAATAACCATGTGCACATAAGTAACATATACTGGCATATACAGATATCCTATATGACTACCTCACAGATCATCAGTCATAACAATCTCTCATAACCAGAATACCGACCTAACCAGGTCACTAACATACCAATCCTAATGGATCATAAGATCATAACAACATACTGTCTATCCTGATACCGATCTAACATATCATAATCTCATGTAGCATACTATAACCAGGATAACAACTAAAAGGGCCGGCCTTGGTGCCTTAGACCTTTTTGATTTAGTGAGGATAACTCACCTTGCTAGCAGCTCGGGATGATACTTGATGCGACCTGGACCTCCGACGAGTCTTCTGGTCTTCTGCTGCGGCGGAGATCTAGAAATCACAATCAGAGAGACGCGTTAGAGCCATCCCAGGGACTGTGCCCCGGGAGCGGACTCCGACGGTCAAGTTAGATCAGCTAGAAGATCTGAGATGGTCCTTCATAGTTGGAGAGAACCATCTTGGTGTTGGTGGTGGTGTATGGTGGTTGACGGCGGCGGGTGGCGGCTGAGCCACCCGGCCGGAGTATAGTGGCGGCTGAGCCATGGGGAAGCTCCCCCTCCATGGAGGAGATACTATTCATTATATAGGGGACAATTAGGTCAAGGGGAATTAGGTCAGGCCTTGGACCAGCCCAATTCAGGCCCAGCTAGCAAGGAGCTGGGTGAGGCCGCCCTGAGGCGCCAGGCGGGGCTGGCGGGCGCGCACCAGGAAAGGTTGTCAAGGGAGCGCTAGGCCGGGCCAGCGGGAGAGTCCCCAGCAGGGCTGGCAAGGGAGAGCCAGGTCGAGCCGGCCGGAGAGTCCCCAGCAAGGCTGGCAAGGGAGTCCCCAGCAAGGCTTGGCAAGGGAACGCCAGGCAGGGCTGGCAGGAGCGCGCCAGGCCAGGCTGGTGCGCTGGAGCAGTCTAGGCCATGCTAGTGGACCATATATCATCAAGTCCCCCCAGTCTGGTGTTATTGGTACGCTGCCAATGACATTGGACTGGACTAGTAATATAAACTAACAGGAGAGTCCCCAGCAAGGCTTGGCAAGGGAACGCCAGGCAGGGCTGGTAGGAGCGCGCCAGGCCAGGCTGGTGCGCTGGAGCAGTCTAGGCCATGCCAGTGGATCATATATCATCAAGTCCCCCCAGTCTGGTGTTATTGGTACGCGGCCAATGACATCGGACTGGACTTAGTCATATAAATGTGCATCGTCAAGTCCCTCTAGTCTGAAGCGATTGGGTTGCTGACAATCGGATCGGACTAGATAAAGCACCAATACATTAAATAATAGAGA